GGCAAACCGCGCGTCCACGTCTTAGACTTTGACACCGAATTTCGGAGAGGGTGGAGAAAACCGTCGTCGGAGCATCCTAAGGCGCGTTAACGGTGAAAGTACGCAATCAAGCGTCCGGCCGTTTGCCCGTTTACTTTCCCGCCGGCCCTCCTCTTGGGCCCTCCGGAGAGGGTCGGGATTTTTTACGCCAGAGAGGACTCAGCCTCGACCCCGCGACCCCGCGACCCCCGAGGGCCCTGTTAAACGCCCTCGGCAACGAAGCCGCACATTTTCCTTTTGAGCGAATCACCGGGGCAAGGGTGCGCCCGGAAGCCGCGGTAAACATCTCGTCTCGTTTCGTCCCGGTTGCTTCGAGGGCCGGCATTAAGGCCGCGGAAAAGTCTTGACTCCACTGGAGCCCTCCTCCTCCCGGTGCGGTAAAGATGAAAACGAATCCCAACTCGACAGACACCGAGGAAATACCCGGGAGAAAGCCCCGAAACGCGAAAGGGTTATCGGCTTGTCTGGGGTGTAACTGGCTTCGTAAGGGTGCGGTCCTTAACGACCCCTCCACCACTCGCAAGAACCGCGGAACGGCCCCTTGATTGGTTATAGATATAATTGCTGCAATTTATTTTGTTTAACGATCTTGTCGGGTCGGCTACAGGGATTAAACGGTGCAATAAAATAACGAGGACGGTACGTTTTCGCATAGGATGTTGAATGCATTCATAAAGTTCATACTTTTAGTACGTAATGTAGGAAAATGATTAATTCGAAATCTCAACAGTAAATTAGCATACATTCATTGTAGATATTTACAGTGAATTTGTAATTTTATAACATCATATTATTTTGTGAATTCCCGCAGAAAAATGAATACACTCCGAGTACTAAATTTATAGCATATGTTTAAAAAATATATAAATAAAGTGTTATCGAGTTAGGTTAAAGTGTGTATATAAAACTTGAAGAAGAATGTTGTAATATATTTTTTTTAACGGAGTAGAACAACCGGCGGATTTGTTGTGCCTTTAGTAGGGATATCTGAAATCCGTTATTTTTACGGGTTTGCTTGTTCCCTGTGTTTAGGTGATGTGAGGTTGGCGTCAAAGAGGTCTCGATTATGAAACTTTTCCCCAACTGGGTGTACCGAATCGCTTCGAACTTTACAATTTGAATATATAGGTTGGAAGAAAGGTTTTGACACCATGAAATTTCTTTTTTTTTTATATATATATAATTTGTATACAAATTTTTTAAATTTGTACAAGATTGAATTTGTCAATTTGTACATTTGACAATTTGTATAAGAAATGAAATTTCACAGGTGTCAGGACCTTCCTTATAGCCTCCGTATTCTCATTGTAGAGTATCAAAAAATTCCGTACACCCAGTTCGAAGAAAAGTTTTATGAACGATTGACCCCTAAGATGTATCTTTCACATCACTTTAAGACTCGTTTTATGGAAAAAGATTGTACGTACCAAGCATAAGCATAGATTGTATGAACCCCGCACCCTGTTCCGGTTACAAAAGCAGCAACACTGGAAGAGAGAAAACAAACGGGCTGATTTCTCGCTCCTTTACTCTTATTTTTATGCGAAACAATTGTTCAAGGCAATACGGCGATAGCCTATCTAACGGCAGGAGAGAGAAACAATAGCCCTTCTATTCGCACTCCTTCCCTTTACCTGGCTTCATAAGAATATCAAGGAAATGGTTAGGTTTACGGAGTATATATTCCACATCACGGGTACCAAGGGGATGATACGTCGACGTTCATGATCGTACATAGAATGCAATTATTGCTCCATTGACGTTTTAGTTGGAATTAATGCCGAAGAGTAACAATAATAATTAGGACGCCTCAATCCGAGTTGGCGGTGCCAAGGTATGGAGTCAATGGACCGCCGAGAATCTCGCCGAGGCCCTTTGAAAATTGCTCTCTCTGCGGAGTTCCGTTGGCCGAGGTCCTAAGCGCGTCCTGCGGTTATGGATTTCCACGGAAGGGAAATGAGAATGGAAATGCCGGGACTCCCGATAGTTTGAAAGCCCTGCGCATCGGTTCTTCCTCGACGCCATGGCGAAAAAATAGGCAGAGCGATATTGAAACGGGAGGGGTCGAGAGGCGGGTAAAATGTAATTTCAGTTCGAAACAGGAGCGGGAGAGGAACAGGAACGGGCGGTGGGCGACCCACATCGAGTCTCGAGTGTTTGTATTGCTGACGCGGCGATCCAATCCAATCCAATCCAATACCCATAGTGGATAGGCGCGTCTATATACAATCCGTATGGACCGACCAGCTTTTCTCTCCGATGCGATACAATTCCGAGCGCTGTACCTTTCTCGTGTGTCCTGCATCCCTGGAGGAAATAAAGGATTCGATCGGAAGGGCCGGGAAGTTTGCCAGGTTCTCCTCGTAGAAATACATTTTTCCTATGAACGCGTCAACGGTCCGGGTCCCATAACCCCCTTGCAATTCCAGAAGACGTCTTACGCGTTTAACGAGACAGAGAAAGTCGAAATAATTTGTAACTTGTCGAACACAACGCGTGAGCGAAATTTCTAAGCTTAACGGCAAAACGTCCCTCTAATCGACGGCTTCTCGTCTTCGTAAGTTTTCCGCCGAGGTGGAAGCGGAAGATAGGTCAGGTAGGAGAAAGGAACGTTTAATAGGTTTGCGCTTTGGGCATTACCGTCGCAGGAATAATTCAGAACGGCCGCGATGGGGTTGAAACGGTTAGGCATGCCGAGGGCGCGTGGCCCGCCGCCGGTGGGTGCGCTATTATCATAAACGCAACAATAACGAGGGATGATCCGACGTGTAAACTGTTAGCCCCCTTTCGGGCGAGGGTGAGGATTACCGGTCCCCCGTAGAATCAGCCCTGCCCTGCGGAATCCACGGGGGTTGTTATTGTTGCCGCAGAACGGGCGAGGCGAGCACCCCCTGCCCTCCTCGGTAATATCAACGTTTATCGCCTCCTATTAGGCCCATCGAAGCGATCCATGCGATTAGTATGCGTCCTCGGAGCTGACCGAAAGCGATACTTCCGCGGAAATGGTTCCCACCCCTTATCGAGGACCTCCGACGAAGATGACGATGGCATCGAGATATTGCGTACGCGACTTGTAACTGGGTTTTATTTTTTCTCCAATTGCCTTCGTCGATTGTTCAAATTATCGACCAAAATTACGTTCCTCCTTTTGTTTTATCTTTTTCGGATGACAATGATACGATGATATGACATCGAAATATTGTGTACGCGGCTCGTAACGGGGTTTTATTTTATCTCCAATTGCCTACGTCAATTGCTTAAATTATCGACCAACATTACGTTCCTCCTTTGCCCTATCTTTTTCAGATGACGATGATACGATGATATGACATCGAAATATTGCGTACGCGGCTCGTAACAGGGTTTTATTTTTTCTCCAATTGTCTACGTCAATTGTTTAAATTATCGACCAAAATTACGTTCCTCCCTTTGGCCTACCTTTTACGGCTCAAGGACTCGAAATTCGGTGGAGTTTTCACGTAACAATCTCGGTTTTCTGCACGAATCATGGAATTGCCGTGGTCGACGTCGGCCGGACGATCGGTCAACGGCCGATATCAACGAGTCACCGACGGTGCGCGTGTTGTCGCTTTGGAAATCCGCTATTAGCATCGAAGCGTGGCAGTAATATGACGTTTCACGATGCTGACAAACATACGCGAGCGTAGGAGCATATATGAGCGCGACACGCGCCGCCACGCTCCCATTGAGGCCTCAATATTGTGTCGCACATACAAAGAACCGATTGTCACTCGGCGAGCGAACGTGCGCGACAGCGTGTATCGCGCATTTCGCGAATCCGACCTTTAATTCGTTAGTCAACGCCCCCGGCCAAGTACTCTTCGCCATCGAAAGTGGCCTCAAGGAAGGGTTGCAAACTCCGCCTCGAATGCACCTAAAGTCATAGCCTTGTTCTCGTAAATCTCTGCGAAAACCACAGTCGGTTTCTCTGTGCACGTATAATTCCGATCCAATCGTTGTTGAACCAAGTTCCACTAAAATGATCAATTTGACAGTCGCAAATTTGACCCCACTCTTTTCTATCAGCGACATGCCGTCGCAAAAGGCAGAGCGAAATCTTGTCTACGTGATGTTGACTGATAGCGACTGGCTAGACGAGATCACGTATCATAACAGCGTCTGTCAAAGTGTTAACTAAAATGAGAATCTAGCCTTTATTACAAAATTACAGACATTACGAGAAATAGTAAATACTAGCTGTTAAACTCGGTGGCTCGTTTCAAACTATTTTCTTATAATTTCGATTGCACGGATATTAAATACTTTATGGTGAAATTGTTTGGATCGATACCTCTGGATTTCCTATATTCGATATTTTCTTATCAGAGGGTGGCCAATTATGAATTCGTTTTCACTACGCGTCATAAGACGTCGGACAATTGTTAGGGGTAATATATAAGGTTTTTTAACATTTTCATTCGTCATCGAGCTTCCCGATACGATAGAATAATGAAACAAATCCAGATCCTTAGCAAGATAATAAGGACTAGATATATCTGTAAAGATCTGATAAAAAGTTGTTCACTAGATTACAAGATCACTGCGATCTTGTAATATGTTGTAAGATCTTACAATTTTATATATCAGTGTAGATTTAAATGTGACGCGCGATTTATACACAGCTTGAACTGTGTATAGGGACTCACATTTCCCTGGTCGTTCCTGTCTTATTGTTTTCAACAATAAACAGATGATATACGAAGAAATGAAAGTGATTTATATACTTTTTTTTTCTCCTAGAAACTAGTACAACAAAAAGCTGATAAAAAGCGGTGTTGTCAATTATAAGCGATAATTGCAACGAGGATGCTTTTCCCTGTACATAATTGTGAACGGTCTTTCTGTTGTACGTCAGGTTCGAACCATGGCAACCAATCGTTCGTTCCAATGTAAAGTTATAATAGGACTGAAGGAACGTGTCCTCTTCCTTTCTGTTGCAGGTTATCAAAGTGGCTATCGATCTGAACAAGGAAATAGTGGATCGGGAAGCAGTGGTTACGGCAGCTCCAACAGCAGACCCAGCAGCAGTGGTAGCACCGGTAGCAGCAGTAGCAGCGGTAGTAGATATGGAGGTAACAATCGTGACCAGTATCAGCAACGGTCTACTTCAGGACCTTGGGCGAGTGGCTATGGTCTCCCGGCTTATCAGCAACCGTATCAGCAGCAACGCAGCCTACCGATGTACCAACAACATGGCCACGGTGCGGCAGCGTTCGATGCTGCGAAGTATCATTCTTACCAGAATCAGCAATATCGAGTGAGTCCTAGATTCTATCATAGAAAAGCTGCTCTGAAGATGAAATTTCAAGTGCCTCCGAAAAATTTGTCACGGATCAAATTATTAAACATTTTGTTGATTTCACTGTACTGATCGCACTAATGTCTTTCTAAGATTACAGCTTCAAATGAACTATTGTATCTAATGTTATCATTGCAGTCGGTATTTACTATTGCTTAGGTATTTGTCCTCGTATTAGAGTATGATGGATCCTTTGAAAATGTATTTGAAATTGAACTTTTTAATTTTAAATCATTATTTTTCACAGGTTTGGGATTTTTTAATATTGGTTCAAATTCTGGGGAGATGATTTTAAGGCATTGACGAAAGTTCCGCTGTCTATGGTATTCCCGGAGCATTAACTTAACCATCTCGTTATAAATTAAGCCGTGTCTTATGGTTTATTGCTAAATCAGGATGTGGCAATTTAATGGCTTCAAATGTAAAATATGCGGCAAATGTATCACACGATATTACTTTTGTTGCAGAATCAACCGTCCAATCGGTATGGGAATGGTCGGAGTGGTCGATAAACGATGCATCATGCAGAAAATCAGTGTTACAACCCGATAGTAAATAATAAAAATCGGTGTTTAATGGCGAACATATTCAACAGCGCGATCTACATGCGCGACAACTGCACACATCGTGGAAAATACATCACGCCTAATTTTTCTTTTTCAATAGCGCGAATTGATTCCCGCGAGATGCGCAGACATATTTACAAGTATACATAAGGTTAGGGAAGTCCTCGAAGGGTTGCAGACTCTTTGAAATGTAGACAATTCTGTATATTTCGATAATTGGCCTGGTTCACCGAGAGAAATATTCGGTTAAATTGACTTATCACGGTTTAATCATCTTGCAATCTACAATTAAACCTTATTTGCTTCAAGGGAACGTTGGTTAATTAAAATTGAATATATAAAAAAAATATTCATCCAATCATTGGTATTTAAATTAATTCAGCTGCCGTCACGAACAGGCAAGTAAATATTTTAATCAATCTACAATAATAATCCGCTTGAATTGAACAAAATTCAGCATAATCTACCGAATTTACTTTAGCCGTGGTGATTTAATTGAACCATTTATTTTTCTCGATATATGGCCAGTTTTTCACGGAAACAAGTGCATATTCGTATCGCAGGTATGCGATGATGAATGTATAAACCAGCGCGATGATTACAATTGAAAACATATTGACATCGATATAGAGTAAACGAGGATGAGGTGGTAAGTAAAAATTTGGGAGTTCATGGTTTTTCGAATAGTACAAATTGAGTCAAGGGATATGTATACTTTTGTTAATCGCTATGGAAAATTTATATCTCAATGTTAAAATCTAATCAAAATAGCGGAAGAAATTAGAATGCTTTCTTGAAATCAATATTGATTTACCTCTTCATCTTTACCACTTTCCCCTAGTTTGCTCTATTCGTACATTTTCATCTCACAATTAGTTTAATACATTGATCGAAATCGCTATCGTTAAATTTTTATTGTCGTGATCAAAAGACCATGTGTTCTACCCTCGCCCCGAAGCGATGGGGATTATAATTACATTTTCTTATACACTGTTAAAATGACTGTTCGAATTTCATTACTGACAAGCAATGAACTTCTTTCGTAAGATTCGCTTTTGAGAAATTTGTAGAACCCACGTATCAACGGACACTCAAATGCCATCGGCAAAAAAATGAAATTAGAAACGGCGTTTCTCGAAATTTAACACTTTGGTGACTGATGGTCTAATATTACATCATTTGACATCCATAACTTGAAACTATTGACGTTGTCCTATCACTGGATATATCTAGAATGTAACGTAGCGAATTCTAGTTTTACATTTCACATGATCAAAACCAGTAATCAAGATTAGGGCTCGTTTACATAGTTTTCGAACACGCGTTAATTCATGCAATGGCACATCGCACAAGCCGCAAACTTGCTTATGAGCAAAGGACACATATGCTCACAAGCAATCGTGCATTTTTGACAGCCATATTTTGTTTGCTTGTGAACACACTATAACTTGTACCATCGCTTGAACTAAAACATGTTGGAAAACGCGCTATGTGAGCGAACTGTTACGCGGTCACCAATGTGTTATCAGATATGTATCCCCTACCTTCGTCTCGACTAACTCTGTTTCTGATTTCCACATTTCAATTAGAAGGTGTCGGAAAGGTAGGACTTTGTTCTAAGGTCACCGGCAAGTAATCTATAAACGTCGCTTTGTTCCGTACACTATAAAATCAAGTCTCCTTCGAGAAGGCGGCGAAAACGGTGGAGACGATAATTATTTTAGAGCGCAAATCTGTGAATGACGTCATACGATATTTGCGTGAGGATGTAACTCAACTGCGCCGATTTGTACCAACGTAACTCCTCTGAAACCTGCCAAGTGTACATCCTCGGAATAATACAGAATATTTCCTTAACGTCTGCTACTTCTCGTTTATCCCGCCCTTTAATTATATTTCTTTATTATTCCTAATTTCCCCGCTACACGTGCAAATATAGGATAATTCCAAACTAATCCGAAACATTTTCATAACGAATTTCAATCAATCGATCTTATTTTCAACTATGTTACCTATTCAATAATGCGGAGATACTTGTTGAAAATTCCCTAAACGAATGCGACTTCTACTATGAATGGACAACCCTGCTCGTAACTATTGTTTCCTTTTTATTTCAGTTTTCTAGGGTTCCATCGTGAACAGTCGTGCCGTTTGTTAAACCAGATTGGCTGGACTCACCTCCTGATATCAATAATTCATCGTTAACTCTCACTTTATCTGCTCGTCTAAGAATGAATCTCTTTTATCGGTAGATGCTAATGGAATGACCCAGTGATTGCATATTCGGAGTCAAACATTCGGAATTCTTGAAAAACAGATTCAGGCGGGTCCATCTCTGAAGATGACCCAATCTACTTTTACGAGAAGTGTCCATATAATCGACATTTGCAGGGTTTGTTTGAGTATTATACTAAGAGGTTATAATATCGAAAATCACCTCATCCTTGGAAAGCCTTTAATCGCGAGGATAAAATATCTTAAAGGGTCCCAAAACTCACCATTTAACTGCTGAACTAGCGAACGTTATAATTTCCCCATCTTCCCTTGTTTTGGCTGGACAATATACATAGTCAACAAATGGTATCCATTTAAGGTTCAGGAACAAAAAAAAATCAAACTAACGTTTCATGCCTCTCTAGATACTGACGGCAAATCAACTGAAATTCAAACCTCATCGCAGGTAAGCTTAGATGGCGAACATCGCAACTTTCTAAATAAATTAACGGAATATACGATTAACGACGTTCTTCGGGAGTAGAATAACATTCCCATAACGCTGCCGAATGACGTTAACGTCAACCATCTGGCAAGGAAACCCCATTAACGCATTCGCGACCGGCAAATTTTTTCCGTTTCAAACACTAAGTACCGGCGAAAATAAGGAAATTCTAAAACGGGTCGCCGCAAACTTGTGTCGTGTATCGTTATGGACGTGATTCACGTCAGCGGGAATGAGGAATAGAATTTAAAATTACGTGAATTCACGTCAGCGGCAACCAGGAATAGAACTTGAAAAGGCGTGAATTCACGTCAGCGGTCGCGAATGTGTTAAGGAAACGTTTCCCACAAGGTTACAGATTCGATCATCGAGGCTCGAGATCCTTCCAAGCAACGTTAACGGCGATAGTAACGAAGTTCATTGATCGTTAAAGTCAAGTTCAACCGGCTGGACTTAAATTTGGAGGTCCGTTTAATAGGAAGCGTATGGTACCGGCTAGGCCCAAGGACCGTGGGTTGCGGGGTAATTATTGCGGCAGGAAACAAAGCAGTGCCCAGCTGGTCCGCGTCTTGCCGATGTTCGATTGAAATCGAAGTGCCGAGAGAGAGAGAGAAAGAGGGTGGGGGGGCGGGGGTAGAGGGAGAGAAAGAGAAGTAAAATGGAACGCGACGGTAGCGCGAAAGAGGCCCGGCACATCTGGTACCGGAGCGACCGAGCGAGCGAGCATTGAACCAGCGAGTACCACTCCAGAAAACAATAGCGAGCAGTGCTCTTGTTCTGTCCTCTCCTCCGCTTTTTTCTCTCTCCCTCTCTTTCTCCCTCCGTCTCTCGCCTCTCCGTCGTTACTCTGAAATCTGGATCCTAGTCCTGACGCAGACCCCCCGGGCGATGGCGTTGTCGGGAAATTCACTGCAGGTTAGGAAATTCCCTCCGGGACGGCTGTTATCTCTCTTTAATATTTGGAGATATTGTCGGCTACACGGTTCCGACGAGTCGAGACTTACCATTAGTTCCGGCCCCGCTACCCCGAATACTTGAATGATTCGTGACTGCGCATTGCGATTACATCGGTTCGAGTCAATGGAAGACGATGCAGAGATTACCAAAAAAGTCGCCGGGGGATTATTTTTTAAGTGAAATGTCTTTTGGCGCGATAATAGGTGTCAGTTTGCATCATGTTGCAATATTAGTTTCAGAGGGTTCGATCGGATACCCTTAAAAAAAGTGTCTTATTCGAATCGACTGATTTGAAGGGGGTTTCACTTCACCTTAACACATTCGCGACCGCTGACGTGAATTCATGCCTTTTCAAGTTCTATCCCTGGTTGCCGCTGACGTGAATTCACGTCATTTTAAATTCTACTCCTGATTCCCGCTGACGTGAATCACGTCCGTAACCATACACGACACAAGTTTGCGGCGACCCGTTTCAGAATTTCATTATTTTCGCCGGTACTCGGTATTTGAAACGGAAAAAATTTGCCGGTCGCGAATGTGTTAATGTGATGTGAACGTAGCGAGACAGAGGTCTCGTTTATTGAACTTTTCTGTCAACTGGGTGTATCGAATCAATTCAATGCTTACAACGTAAATATGGAGGCTGTAAGGAAAGTCCTGATCCTCATAAAATTTGAATTGTTTACGAAATTAGTTTGTAGGTATTTTTAATTTTTTTATTAAAAGAAAATTTCAGCGGTGTCAAGACCTTCCTTATAGCCTCCATATTCGCATTGTAATGTTCGAAGCGATTCGGAACACTCAGCTCGAAGGAAAGTTTCATGAACGATGGAATCCTCGGATGGCACTTTCACATCCCTTTAACGGTTGCTGAGAGACAAACAAGACATTTAGAGAGAAAACCGTGGGCATTATATAATGCATCGATTGCAGGAATCTGGTGATTCATCCATTCTTCGCAATTTCTGTCCAGTCTCGACATCCCAACTTGCGCTCTTATTGCGCGTTAGGCCGCGATTAATCGCAAGGACCCGCATTTAGAGATTCGAGCCAATACTTCCGATAGCCCGCACGTTCTCCATCGTCTCGACTCGCCTGCTCCTCTTTCGTTGTCTTCCTTTCTTTTTTTTTTCACGCTTTCATTGTACTAAGCACAATGCAAATAACCGGTTCGCTTAAATAGCAAGATTTTTCTAAGCGAAATTAAGCACCATCACGTAATCCGCTACTAATATTCTGGGAGAAAAATAAAGAGTACTCTCTGGTGCCATGTTAATCTGATTAACGTGCAAGATAGCCGTTTACGAACTCCGTTAGATATTTTTTTGTTAACCTGTATGAAACTTCAGAGATGGAATATGTTTACGAGTGCCCGTAAATATGCACATCGTATAGTAGGCTGGATGTGGGAAATTTCCCCGGGAATCGTTAAGCGAAGTGCAATTTAGATCGAGAACGCGTTATCAAGCTTTTTGAGAGCGAAGTACATTTAGAGCTCGAAATGAAATCTAAATTGAATTTAGCGATTCGAAAGGCGGCTTCAAAAAGCCCCATTCGTTCGAGCAGTTAGAGAAGTAATCCAAAAGCGAAGTAGGCTAACGACGAGTCACTCGACCGCGCGGTCGGTGCGAATAATTATGCGGAGGTCCTAATAATTTGCATAATCAGCAGGTTATTTGAGTAATTATGTCATTCCGGCCATCATTCCGATGGTCGTTCGAATTCTTCCACTGTTCGATGGATCGATCGCGCAAATAATCGCAATTTGACAAACTACCTGTTCCAAGAGACGCATCTTACGGAAACGACCAAGAGATATTTAGTTCGTTTGAAAATATAATTCCTAACTAATAATTACATCTGTACCCTAGAGTTGTCTTACTTATTCTGTAAAGATCTTAAAAAGTGTTGTTTCACAATAATCAATAATTTCATCACTACCGACAGCCTATGCTCCAAATTTTGAATAGCGACTTCCGATTCGATGTAACAATTCATCTCTATATGACAATTTTCACCCGCTTAAGAGGACTCGGTAACGTTAATAAAAATAAAAATAAAAATAAGGTGATTTTTGGGAACTTAAATGCCCGAAAAAAAATGTCTTTTTTGTGATCTTCTCCCGGACAAATGCAAATTTTATGTCGATTAATTCAATTTCACGAGCATCGCGTTCTTCCTAATGTCGCCATAATCTCGTGATGAAATTTCAAATGATTCAATGCATCCAATTTGGAGAAAAGTTTTATAAATATTATCACATTTTGGCATGTATACATGACACTTTCGTATCACCTTAACCATCCAAAGGTTGTTGAACTAACATTAATGGCATCATTTGTTTGATATATATGTACGATAGGAAAACGGACCGCAAAAAGAAAATGATGAATCCAAGCTGCGGGTAAACCTCTATTCAGGTCGCGCAACGAGTATGTACCGAGCTCGTACTCACCAGTGCCGGTACCTTGCTCGCGTTATCGCGGCTTTGGCCTCCCTTTGATGAAATCAAGCCCTATCCGCGCCGGGATCTACCCTAGGGCGGTACTTGCGGTCCCGGGCGTTCTTTATTCCTCGCGATCCCGCCACCGGGTACAATGCGACCCTTGCGTCTCATCGAGCACGCACTTTAGGCAGCCGCGTGCACGCGCGGAATGCGTCGCGGACGAATATTGGCAAACCAGTCGTCAACGTTACCGTCAATTTTCATACAAAATCCCTCTGGACCAAGAGAAACGGAACTTACAGATTTCATGTATTGCAAATGCATCGTGCGTATAAACTATATATATCATGCAAACTAGATGACATTTGGGGAAGTTTCCGAGTCGTGGCTTCGTCCACCTTGCACGAAGGGAATTGAGGATGAATTTCACCACGTAGATTGCGATTGAAGGTAATTTCCGATTATTTTTCGAGAATTTCCGGGAGCCATACATCGACACTTGCCCCTCCGAACGCAGTTCTATTTCTAATCGAGGAAGCGATCATCTGACAGAGTTCCAAGATTGTCCCGCGATTCACGATGAATTTACGTAATAAAATATAACTCCATCGCGTTATTTCCAGGCCTAAATACGAACAAGAAGAACCGTTCTTTAACCCTTTCGTTACCTTGGACGAGATATCTCGCGACCCGATACTGGCCGATCAACGCTTTTGACGAGATATCTCGCGACCC